GACAGTGAAGGAACAGCAATATATTTCAAAGTCAAGTTGGTGAGTGGCTTGGAGGTGATCTTGAAGTTGGTGGTGTTCTCATGTATCTGCGTTGGTTGTGGAGGGAGTGGGTGCTTATGGATGTAGTGCCAATAAGTGGGCTGCTTTATCCTGGATGGTGTTAAGTTTCTTGAGTGTTGTTGTGGCTGCACTCATCCAGGCAAGTAGGGAGTATTCCGTCACACTTCGTGTCTTGTGCCTTGTGGACAGTCGACAGGCTTTGAGGAGTCAGGAGGTGAGTTACTTGCCGCAGTATTCCTAGTTTCTGACCTGTTCTTGTAGCCACTGTGTTTATGTGATGAGTCCAATTAAGTTTCTGGTCAATGGTAGCCCCAAGGATGTTGCTAGAGGGGGACTCAGTGATGGTAACGCCTTTGAATGTGAAGAGGCAGAGGTCAGGCTTATTGGATGTAGTTATTGCCTGGCATTCATGTGACATGAATGTTACTTGCCACTTGTCAGCCCAAGCCTGGATATTGTCCAGATCTTGCTGTATTTGAATGCGCACTGCTTGGAATGCACTGTCTGGAAATGTGGTGGATGGAAGTTAAACTGAGTGATTCAAGAGGGAATTGGGTGACTATGTGGATAGTAATGGCGTGCAGGAATATGGGGGAAAGGCGCGAGATTGGCCCGAGGTAATAGAGCTGGTGCAGGCACGATGGGCCAAATGGCCTCTTTCTGCCATGCAGTAATGCTATGATTCTGTGGTGTTAATGGATTCAGGAAAGAAACAAGAGTTGATGAGAGGAGCACTGAATGGGAAGAACAGAACCATCACCGATAGTTGCTGACAAAGTAATGGAGGTCAGAGATTATGATCTGAAATGGGCTGAACAGCTAATATCTGCTCCTTCACAGCCCTGTGGAAGGGCTTATCAATGGTGCTATCCAGCAGCACTTACACAGCAATAGCCTGCTCACTTGCACTCAATTTGGTTCTGCCACTCAAGCTTAATAATGACCATTTAATCATGGTCAATTGTTTTTAAGACCCATTTGGGTCATTAATGTCCTTTAGGGAAGGAAAAGTGCCATCCTTGTCTGGTCTGGCCCACATGTGACTCCAGACCCATAACAATGTGGCTGACTCTTGACGGCCTTCTGTAATGACTCAGCAAACCAATCAGTCGTATCAAACCATTACAAAGTCTAAAGACAAGAATGAGACTGAACAGACCACCATACCATCAGCCCAGGTAGCAGAAGTGACAACAACATAGGCAGTCCCATTGATCCCACAAATCTCTCCTTACCAACATCTGGTACTATGGTCAAAATGGAGACAACTGTTTCACAGAATAGTCAAACAGTTCTCATGTAACTTGAATAGTTATACTAATTGAATCATGCCTGACAGACAATGATCCATTCACACCATCCCCAGCTATGTCCTGTACCACTGGCAGGACAGACCCAGCAGGAATAGCAACATAGAGGGATTCAGTTAGGGCCCTGGGAGTCCTCAACATTGACTCTAGATCCCAATGAAGTCTCATGACCTCAGATCAAATATGGGAAAGGTGACCTCCTGCTGATTACACTTTCTGCAGCCACCATACTTCAGATGATGAATCGGTACTCCTCCCTGTTAATTAACACTTGGAGGAAGCACTGAATGTACTCTGGGTGGAAGATTTCAATATCCACCACCAAGACTTGCTCGGAAGCAGCACTACTGATCAAGCTGGTTGCGTCTGAACCAACATAGCCAATAGACTGGGTCTGTAGCAAGTGGTGAGGGAACCAACAAGAGGGTAAAACATACTTGACCTCATCCTTACCAACCTGCCAACTGCAGATGCAATTGTCCATGACAGCATTGATAAGAGTGACCACCGCATAGTCCTTGTGGAGATGAAGTCACACCTTTACATTGAAAATAACCTCCATTGTGTGGCACTATCATCGTGCCACATAGACTTTGAACAGATCTAGCCACTCAAGATCTAAGCTCTGCAGTGCTGCCACACCCAGTTGTGAATGGTGGTGGACAGTTAAGCAACTCACTGGAGGAGGAGGCTCCACAAATAGCCCCAACACATCACTGCAAAAGACAAGGCTGAAGCTTTCACAACAATCTTCAAGCAGAAGTGCTGAGTGGATGATCCATCTCTGCCTCCTCCAGTGGTCCCCAGCATCACTGATACCAGTCTTCAGCCAATTCGATTCACTCCAAATGATATCAAGAAATAGCTGAAGGCATAAAACAGTATATATCCAATATCATCCAAGCAAACCTCGGGATAATGGATTCAGTGAAGACCCTGACACCATTCACCATCAATGTGGCCCAGACAACGGAGATCTGTAACCTCAATGAGATTAAATGTCAAGTTTAATAAATGGGATGTAATCTCCTCCCACCAAGCTGCCAAGTGTCTGTCACAATTAACGAGGCTTACATTATTTCTTCCATGCATACTCCAATCTTTGTTTTAAATCTTCCACGTTTCCATTTCTGGGGATAGTCTGGCCACCAATATCTACTACAAACCAACTGACTCCCACAGTTACCTTGAATAAACATTTTCATACCCAGCTTCCCGTAAAGACTCTATTCCATTCTCCCAGTTCCTCTGTCTCTGTTGCATCTGTTCTGATGTTGCCAACTTCCACCTCTGCAATGTCCACCTTCTTCCCCAACCAAGGATTTCCCAGCACTGTTGTTGACAGGGCCCTCAATCTGGCCTGACCCATCTATCGCAATTTGGCTCTCACCCCTCTCTCTCCCCAGCGACAACAGTGACAGGGTTCCCCTTGTCCTTACCTACCGTCCCACCAGTGTCCACATCCATAAGATCATTAGCCACCATTTCTCCCACCTCTAGTGGGATGCCATTACCAGACACATATTCCCCTCCTCTCCTGTGTCAGTCTTCCGCAAGGACTGTTCTGTTTGGAACACCCTGGTCCACTTGTTCTTCACTCCCAACACCCCCATGGCACCTTCCCCTGCAACTGCAGAAGGTGTATCACCTATCTGTTTACTTCCTCAGTATCCAAGGGCCCAAACATGCAATCCAGGTGAAGCAGCGCTTACCTGCACTTCACACAATCTAGTCTACTGCATTTGCTGCTCAAAATATTCTCTCCTCTACATTGGGGAGACAAAACATAGACTGGATGACTACTTTGTGGAACATCTACTTTCTGTTTGCAAAAAAGACCCTGAGCTTCCAGTTGCCTGCCACTTTAATGCACCACCCTGTTCCCTGGCCAACATTTCTGTCTCGGGCTTGCTGCAGTGTTCTAGTGAAGCTCAGCACAAGATGGAGGAACAGCACTTCAATTTCTGCTTTGGAACTCTATAACCTTCTGGATTCAATATTGAGTTCAACAATTTTAAGGCTTGAGTGCCTTACCCACCTTCCCCCCCCCCCCCCCCGCAACACACACACACACATCAGAGCTTGTTATCACATGGTCTGCTATTACACACAACCCATGGTTAGCCACTAACAGTCCCCGTTAGCAGCCATTCATTCTCCCAGGCTGATCATTATCCACTCCTTTGTCTGTCCAGCTGTCCTTCTCTCTCTCTTTGGGCTCCATCTCCACCATTCATTTACTCTCCCCTCCACCCCTCCCCCCACCCCATCAACTTTTCCTTGGCTGCCATCAGTTCTGGAAAAGGTTAGCTCTGCTTTCTCTCCACAGATGCTATAAGACCATAAGACATACGGGCATAAATTAGGCCATTCAGCCCATCGAGTCTGCTCCGCCATTCAATCATGGCTGATAAGTTTCTCAGAGATAGTAGGAACTGCAGATGCTGGAGAATCCGAGACAACAAGGTGCAGGGCTGGATGAACACAGCAGGCCAAGCAGCATCATAGGAGCAGAGAGGCTGACGTTTCGGGCCTAGACCCTTCATCAGAAAAGGGGGAGGGGAAGGGGGTTTTGAAATAAATAGGGAGGGAGTGGGAGGCAGATAGAAGAGGGATAGAGGAGAGGATAGGTGGAGAGGAAACAAACAGGTCGAAGAGGCGGGGATGGGGCCAGGAAAGGTGAGTGTAGGTGGGGAGTTAGGAAGGGGATAGGTCAGTCCAGGGAGTTCTCAACCCCATTCTCCTGCTTTCTCCCCGTAACCCTTGATCCCCATGATAATCAAGAACCTATCTATCTCAGTCTTAAATGTACTCAATGACCTGGCCTCCACAGCCTTCTGTGGCAGTGAATTCCATAGATTCGCCACTCTCTGTCTGAAGAAGTTTCACCTTATCTCTGTTCTAAAACGCCTTCCCTTTACACTAAGGCTGTGCCCTTGGGTCCTAGACTCTCCTACCAATGGAAGCATCTTCCCAACATCCAATTTGTCCAAGCCATTCAGTATTCTGTAAGTTTCAATTAGGTCCTCCCTCATCCTTCTAAACTCCAATGAGTATAGTCCCACAGTCCTCAAATGTTCCTCATATGTTAATCTTTCCATTCCTGGGACCATTCTCGTGAACCTCCTCTGAACCCACTTCAGGGCCAGTACATCCTTCCTGAGATATGGGGTCCAAAACTGCGCACAATACTTCAAATGTGGCCTGACCAGAGCCTTATAAAGCCTCAGTAGTACATCCCTGATTTTATATTCAAGCCCTGTCAAAATAAATAAAATGCTTTTCCAGCAATTTCTGTTTTTGTTTCTGATTTACATCGTCCGCAGTTCTTTCACTTTTTGTTTGTTTTAATTCTCTCTGGTATGATTATAATTTAGGGGTAAGTCCGAGGTAAAGCGACTTAATGAAAAATGTCAAATCTGAACCCTGACCGCATCACTTCAATTATGATCTATAGATCGAAAATGTATACGGCTTTACAACACTGCTGCCGACTGGCTTTTCTTAACCCCTCAGGATATATAACTCTCTCTCAGAACAGAGGGTTGCAGGGGATGTCTAACTGAGTAGAGAGACAGTTTAGCTTTAAGAGTGATGCCTCCCGCCCCCTTCTCTCACCATCCCTGTTATTATAATTCCCTTCTGTTCTGAGACCCGGCACAGCTGATTTTTAGAGAAAGCGGCAGTTTAATGTTTTTTTATTTCTCCGTCGAATCAGACAACATCTGGGTCACCTCTTGTTGGAAGCAGTGTCTGTATTCACCCGCAATAAGATGTCGACAGAAAAACAAGGTATTGTAAAGCGAGGTTGCTGGTGAGATACAGTGAGATGTTTCAACTCCCGTTTGATAATTGCACAGCAACGTTCTGAGGCACCGGGCCCTTATTATTATTTATTTTTATTGTTGTTGTTTTGTTTCCTGAGAATGGGAAGGTTTTGAAAGAGCTCAGAACTGCAGCAGCCTTTTTCTGTCTCTATCTTCGCCCCGCACCCGTACTGTTTCATATTGAATTGCTGCACTTGCCAAGCAGATATAGGAATTAGCTGAATGCTTGAGGCGATATTAAAACGAGATCAACACTTCTGGGGAATGGGGGTTTGGTGGGGGCGTGGGGGGGGGGGGGGGGGGGGGGTGGGTTGAGGGTGGTTAATGGGGATAAAGTTTGCCTCATATCCCAGCTGCATCAATCCCACTCATGATTTCATAACCGCTTTCAAATTCGGGAATGACAGTAAGACTGATGGCGCAATCAGATGCAATGATCTTCTGCCACCGTTCAGGGAACTCCGTTTTTTGTCCTCAGGACCACTTGCAGTTTGTGTTTTTTTGTTTTTTTCTGGGGGGTGTGTGTGGGTGTGGGTGTGCTTGTGCTGGGTGGTGGGGGGGATTGGGGTGGGATGTAAGGAAGACTCTGGCAGGAGGGGGTGAAGGCGGGAACATTCAAAATGATACATAATTGTAAGGTCGCTGACTAACACTTCAGCAGTCATGTGACTAATTGTAGATTCCTAATACATGGGCTCCTCACAAGAGGATACCAGCGGTGCTCGATTCTGTTTCATGCAAAAAAGAAAACTTACCACGTTCTATAATTATATCAGGTTCTCTTATCAGTTCAAGTGGTCTGGGATGGTCTGTGACATTATTAGCTTCTGAATCATTTTTATACACAAACAAATGTAATTTTCATTTTGTTAAATAGTAAGCTCTGAAGAAGAAAAAAAATCTTTCTTTGACTTCCGGTAGGTTGTGAGTGCAGCCGTTTGATTTTTTTTTGCAGCGTGACATTATGTCACTGTATGTCCCCAGTCTATATTTTGCATGTTTGAACACTGTAATTAAAACCGCCGAGCTCTGAAATTGCTCGCCCTTCCTCTCTCTCTTTGTAATTTGCTGGAGAGGGAGAGGCATTGATGTTGACGCTGAGGGGGAGAAAAATGGAAAAAAAAAGAAATCGAATTTATCCCTTCACGGAGACGTTGACAATTAAATTAAGGGGAATAAACCTTGTGACAAGGGCGACCTGAATAGTTTGTTGTTGGTGCCCAGGGAGCGTCACTCAAACGGGAACAGCTTTCTGAAACGTACAGTGCACTGCCTCAAGCCCGCTGTCTGCTTCCTGCTCTGATTTTCCTCTGCTCGTCTGCCCTGTTTTCAAAAGGGAGCGAGCATTTACAATCTGCTTTTGTTGCGGGTTCTTTGAATCACACTTCGTGCAATGCTCAGTTCCAGCTGCCTCTTCTGACAACCAGGACCCTCCTCAGTTGTTCAAATCCAATGTGTCCTCCAGCAACAGGATTGTCTTGGGACGCACAGCAGCCAGCCACGCAAGAAGGGGTTCCCACTGTGTTCACCACAGTAAGGGAAAAATGTCCAATAGATGTGGTCTAACAGGACTAGGCAGGGTAGATGCAGGAAGGATGTTCCCAATGGCAGGGAAGTCCAGACCAGGAGTCACAGTCTAAGGATACATTTACAAGTGAGATGAGGAGGAAGTTCCTTACCCAGACGGTGGTGAGCCTGATGGGTTTGCCAATATGGAGGGCAAAAACATTGTATGATTTCATGAAGTTGGAAAAAGCTCTTGGGGCTAAAGGAAAAAGCAGGAACAGGGCATTGAGTTGGATGATTGGCCATGATCCTACAGTGTGGAAGCAGGCCATTCAGCTCACGGAGTTCAGACCAACCTTATGAAGAGCATCCCACCCCCTACCCATCCCTGTATTTCCCATGGCCAATCCACGTAACTTGCACATCTTTGAACTGTGGGAGGAAACCACAGACATGGGGCGCACATGCAAACTCCACACAGCTAGTCACCTGAGGGTAGAATTGAACGAGGGTCCCTAGCACTGTGAGACAGCAGAGCTAACTACCGAGCCACTGGTCATAATGGGTGGCAGAGCAGGCTCAAAGGACTGAATGTCCTCTGTTTCTATTTTCTGTATTTGTTTGTTATCAGTAGGGTGCTGGATGGTGTAATAGGTCAAACAAGCCAGAACAAATTTAACTTAACTCCCCTGGCAGGAATCTCAAATGGCCAAAGTTACTCTCTAGTAACTTCAAAAGAATGACATTGTCTGTGGAGTTGGTAGATCTGATCAGATAAATTCCTCACTGGGGCCTTAGGTTAAAAGGATTCGAACAGGTTCAAACCTTCAGGTGATGCCTTAATTTAGATGCAGCTAACCAGTTGTGATATGGATATATCTATCTTCTGTATGCTAGATGAAATTAAATTGACACAGATAACTTGTGGTCAAAGCTGATAAAACACCATAAATTATTCAATACTTTGTCCCAAAATTTGCAATTCCAGCCACAGAGACAATAAGTTATAGTGGAACTGCTTCACCCCCTCCTCTGACCTTCAAATGAAGATGCCATATTTTGGAATGCTCTTGTGAAGCATCTTGGGAAATTGTATGATGTTAAAAATGCTATATAAATGCAAATTGTTACAACCTAGTCTAGATCATGAACGTATACCAAGAAAAGCAGTGGTCCTGATGCAGACCCCTTGTGGAACTTCACCATAATCTCCCCAAGCCTGAAAGACACTCATTCATCACTAGTCTCTGTTTCCCGTCAGTTAGCCATTGTCATATCTATACCACCATTATCCCTTTTATATGCTGGACTTTAATTGTGCTGACAAGCCTACTCTGTGCCAATTTATAAAATGCTTTTTGGGAACACATATAAACTACATCAATGCATTACTCTCATCAACCTTTTCTGTTACCTGATCAAGAACTCAAACAAACTGGTAAAACATAATTTCCATCTTAAAAATGCCTTTCCTTTTTAAAATAATCTACATTTGTGCAAGTGACAATGACTTACATTTTCCCAGATTTGCTATTTGGCACTGAACAGTGCCCTTCAAAGAACTGGGTTCACTTACAACAAGTCAGGTCATAGAGTCACAGAGGTTTACAGCATTGGAAACAGGTCCTTCGGCTCAACCTGTCCATGCAGCCCAGTTTTCACAATTAATCTTGCCCCATTTGCCTGCATTTGATGCATATCCCTTCACACCTATCCCATCCATGTGCCTGTCCAGATGTTTCTTAAATGATGTAGTAGGTGTAAGAAGAGTGTTTCTTTTACCTGGCTATTGATTGATAAAACTCGTACCACAGTGCACCACAAATCAGTCAGTATTTTGTATCAAAATAGGAAACTAAACCATGGAGGCAATGGATTTATTGTGGAATTCACCCAAACCCCCTCCGCCGGCATCACTTCCCTTCTGACTTTCATAGTATGTAGAAGGCAGTGCTGTTAACTGTGATCAAGGTGACCACTGTTGGTATGTATTATCCTGCAGTGGGACCTATCAGCCTTTAAGCACCCACAACACCAAAGGGATAGTTTCATAAAGAGGTACCCTCTCCTCTCAGTCTTCTCAGGTGGTTTGTGCTGATCTAGGGGTTTGGGATTACTCTTAAAATACTTGCCATTTTTAACGCATATATCACAGACAATGCAGCTGCACATTGCCAAGAATTTCACCGCAATTGATGGAGCCTGACACCTTTTTAAAAAATGCTGATATTCTTGATTGACCTAAAGAAATTACATGATAGAATTTCGTGTTTTAAGACTTTGACTGTAACAAAAGACTGAAAACAACATTGTCTAAACATTATCCTGTCGCAAGCAATTTTGTAACCTGTAGAAAAAAAATCCTCATTAATGCCTTAACATGGTCTGTAATATCACATTGTATATATACTGTACATTACATAACACTCTCCATGGAATTGCGGTCTTTATAGGAAATAGTTCCAATACTCACAGCTTCTAATGGGTTAATGACTCCCCATTTCACCAAATCCCATCTTCTGTCTTCAGAGAATTCCTGAACTAACAGCAGTAAGGTCTATTCTGATAAATTCTCTTCCCACGCTGAGTAGGCCAAATCTTCTGGAGTTTTTAGATTGCCACACGATGTGTGCTTCAACCAGTGACTGTCCTTCCTCTTGCATTCTGCCTGGTTACTCATTGAGAACTCAGCCTTCTTTTCTCCTCTTACCGTACCATGTGTTGTCTTTTGTTTCTATGAGGTCTCTCTCTCTTATCCTTTTCCTGTCTGAAAATGTGGAGACTGAAAGTCTGGCACAGTTAACTCAGCTGCTCCTGCCTTATTTTTAGATGTGAACGTTTTGCATTTTGCTCCCAGTGAATCAGAAGTTGGGCCTCCCTTGTATGTTGACCTGCTCCAACTTGCCATTCCTTGGAAATTCCTCCAAATTGTCCCCTTGAGCATCTCCAATTTTCTTTGCCTCTGTTGTGCCTTCAGATGCTTGGGCCCTAAGCTTTGAACTTTCTTCAAATTCTCCCTCTCTTTACCTCTCATTCCACCTTTAAGACACTTCTAAAAATCAATCTTTTTAACCAAGATTTGACCACCTGTCCTAATCTTCCATTCTGTTTCTCAATATGAGCATTTATTCCCTAATAGCTCCTGTGAAGTACCTTAGGACAATATGCTGCATTAGATACTGTAGTTATTGTAATACAATTCATTTTTCATTATCATCCAAGGTGAACCTTGACCACACTGTATCTGCAGACCTTGTGGTGTGCATTTCACCAACTGTACCATTTTGAGGTATTTGAGTTCTTGTTGCATTTGAAACTGTTAGTTATAGATTTTGAGGCACTTTGTCAGAATGGAAAGCAGCCATGGAGCCTCAGTTTTGCTGAGGAATGTTACCACAGTCCATTAAATTAAATCTGTTCTGGATGATAGCACCATGTTCCCTTTGTGGCGGTGGAATT